TGTGTGTCTGTGTGTGTGTGTGTACGTCTGTGTGTGTCTGTGTGTGGCGCTGGCAGGCAGCTGCTCATGACTCATGCTCGGCCTGCAGGAGGGTGACAGGAGTTGAAGCGCTCCAAGTTCACACGCTGACACACGATGTAACACACTGTGCTCACGAGTCACATGACCACATGCTCAACCTGCTCTCATAAAAACTGATTTCATATTTAAATATGTAACATCCTGCACACGGCTGTCATCTCTCTGCAGAAAAGTCCAAACTGAGCTTTTAGGACAGTTTCATAGATGATCTGAGCTCCACCGTGGTCAGACGTGACGTGCAGCAGCAGCAGCTGATGTTACTCACCTGTTTACAGCAGACGTGTTTTCATGTTTTATACTTGGACAGAAAACGATTTACCAGCAGAGAACAGTCTGCTGGCTCAGGAGATGAGTCCTCACACGCCAAAAAATCTCCCCTGCACATAAAAAGGTCTGCTGACATCACCAGCCACAGCCTGCAGTGAGGAGGTCAAAGGTCACAGATGACAGGCCAGTGCCATGCTTTGTGGATGCAGAAAAACACCCACATGGTCTCTGAATCATCCTGGAGGAAGGAAGGCTGTACTCTCATGGCTAATTCTGAAGTGAAAGAAGTAAATTCAAAAAATAGAAAATGTATAAAAAATCTGTAGTAAGTTTTATCCAATTATCCTGTTTTTAAAATATTCCACACAGCTACGCCATCAGTAATATTTGTGTCTCCTAACAGTGAAATGACATCTATCTGCTGTCCCAGTGACAATAATCAGCTCAGCCTATGTTCATTAATCACTATGAGACCAAAGCTCAGATCTAAACACTCAGTTTACACCAGTTTTTTATGGTGTTGGCTTTGTATGATGTCATAGGGAGGTTATATCCTTATATGGTCAATCTCAGGCACAGAAGCCCCGCCCACTTGCTATTTAAACCTTCTGTTGTGAGGGGCAGCCAGCTGTCTCCGTATGAGATGAAGGATTATTCTGAACTATTCTGAAGCAAAGAATTACAATATGGAGCAAAATCATTACTCAAAAAAGTAATCCATTACACATTACTCATTACTTTGCTTAAAAGTGATGTGCTGCGTTACTTAATTACGCTGAAGAAAGTTTTTTGTTCCATTGCTTTCTCATTACTCCGTAAATTGTCCTGAAACACAGTCCTCATGAGGACACAGGTACGCTCTTTCTTTTATTGTTCAGTGATGAACAAAAAGCAAAGATGGAAACCAGCACAAAGACACTTTGGAGTGGTCACCACGGTGATTCTGAACTGGTAGGAACAGGCTGCAGGCTGACTGCTCATCAGTTGGTTACCTGTTGATGTTCAGGCTCTGGCTGCTGGGCCGGGGTCTGCATACACCCAGCTTTACCATCAGTCTGGGTTCTTGGCTAGCTAAGTGTTAGCATGCTACCTGTGCAGATGTTAGCACTATAATGCAGCTGCCTCTGTACTGGGCGCAGTTTGCACCATACTGTTGGGCCCTTGTCCTTTCATGCAGTAAATTGGTTTTGAACACACATCCGGGGTTCTGAGAAACTGTAGGATAAAGTGTTCATTGATACAGTAACAGGAAAACTAGAGGTCTGTGGTTTTCTGGAGGAACTACGTTGGACATGTTGATCTGAATGTTTGATGAACCTCAGCTGTGACACTGCTGATGAACAGAAATCAGTTTTTGTTTAGTAATTTTTTGTCTTTGGTCTCTCAGACGTGACGACCATTGGGTGGATTAATCAGTAGCAGCGACATCAGCAGAGGCCTCGAGTCGTGTCGTTTCTGGGTTTTCCTTGGTGTGAGGACGGTTTCAGGCTGATGGAAAACCGCAGGCTTCTGCTGTTTCTGGGTCATCTCCTCTAACTGGAGGCATGACGGCACACAGACATAGCTGTGGTGAAACTGTGGGACGATTTCTGGCTCTCAGGTCCAGGAGGGGGCTTTGCTCTCTTGCCGAGTCCAGAGAAGAGCTGGCTGCAGTGCAAAGCTGAGCCAGACCACATGGGGAAGCCTTGATTAGCATTGACGCGAGCTCGGAAAAATGCACACAAACAGCTTGCTAGTTTATTCTCTGTGCTTTTATGAGCCGTTGATAATTACTCCCAAATGAGACACGCGAAGACGGGCCAAGCGCTTGTTTACGGTCTGAACGCCACGATCGGCTCTTTTATAACATCCTTCTGAGTGTTGTGTAACTCCACAAAAACACTCCACTCTCCCATCTACTCCAAATGTGCACTGTGAGAGTGTTTGTGTGGTTGTGGTGGTGCTGCTGCGAGCTGCTCGGTGGGGGTATAATGATGCTGCTGGTGCTGCCAGGAGAGGCTGACTCATTCCTCCAGTGTGAACCGGCTCTTACAGATAAGCCGACCTTCACTATGCATGAAGAATACTGTTAGAGGTGATGTGTTTGTTTGGGTTTGAACTGATTGTGAGGACTTCTTTACAGATGGCACACAAAGATGTAAGTGGTCATATTTCTGTTTGAAACAAAACGCAGCAGCACGGCAGAACCTCTGACATCATTAACCATCTGTGAGTCCAAATCTCCCCTCAGTTCCCAAACAGAGTTACTAACAGTCTGATAAAATGATCCGTGTGGCTGCTCGCCCAGGTGTTACAAGAAAACTTAAAGAGGGGTAATCTGTACCATAATACTGCCTGTTTTATTATTCAGACTCAATTATAACACAGAGCTAACACAAGAAGGGCCACTCTAACATCAGGCTGTGAAGTAGGGCTGGGTATCGTCACTGATTTCTAGAATCGATTCGATTC